AAAAGGGAAATTAAGTTAGTTAAGCAGGAGTTTTCCCTCATGAACCTGTGAGATCAGTAACTTTAAAAATTTGTGAAAATTGTCTCACAAAAAAAAAAAAAAGGAAAGTTTTCAGCAGTCCTTCATATAGGAAACTCCAGGAAAATTGCCTGTAGTTCTCATAATCTCTATCACATTAATTAATGCTTTATTGCATACAGGCAAGCTATAGAATGAATAGTGCAACAGGCATTTTTCAAAGAAAGTTATAGTAAGAATGTTTAAGCTTTTACCATCTCAGGAGAGCTAAACAAGATTCTTCATATCTGAATATCAGAGAAGACAGGCAGGCTGACAAATGATTGCCCTGATTAAAGCAACAATGCCAGTGTGGTGTGTTGTTTGCACATGGACTGTTTCCTTTGAATAAGCTTTTTCTGACCTTTACAGCAGGTAAGAGCAATGCTTGCTTGAGGACAGCGCACTTCATGTGAGCAATTCAAGGAAGCTGTAAAAGTCCATGGATCTGGACCCCAAGGCTTGGAAAATCCTCTGTTGCTCTACTGTTGTTGTGTTACAGGAATGCTCTAACCATTCACCTCAGCAAGGACACAGGTTTCAGTGACCCCAGGATAAGAGTCTGTGTCTTGTGGTGCTCTTTAACCAGTCACACAGAGTGTATGTGGTCACCTTGTCCTCTGCCTGTGATGGCAATATCTGCCAAAACACAGAAGCACAGCAGAGACAAAGAAGATACCTGTGCAGGTGGGAATCAGCTGGAATGCCTGCCTTTTCACTGCACCTCAGTTTTCTGCTAGATGCTTCAGCCATGGCAATTATCCATGGGATTTCCCAGTTCCTCATTCAGGGACCCAGAATGCATAAAGACTGCTTGTAACCAAATATTCCTTTTCCCCATCAACCTTGTGTCAAACACCAGTAGGAAGCAAGGGAACTACTGGTAGATATTTGTTGATACAAACACATTACAGGCAACATATTGATCACCTCTACTCATCAGGCTGCGTGCACTGTAATTTTAATATAATTGGCAATGACAGATGTTCATTCTATAAAGCTCCACTGAGAATATTACTAAAAATTCTACTGTCATTGATTACATATAAAAATAAAATTACGTGGTGTATTGTGGTCTATTGTATGCATCCAGAGAGGAACAGTCTTCTCCCTTACACCACTATCCTGCATCAGCATATATGAGCTGAAAGCCTCCACTGTTATGATAAAACTAGACAGAGAAGTGGTTGTGCTGTGCAACATGACTCCCTAATTTACTCTAATTTATTCTGTTTTGGATTGGCTACTCCACGATTGGTATCATGGCATTTGTTTAAGATAAGATAGGAAAAGAAAAAGGGGTTTAAAGAAGCAAGGTCTTTAGCTTTCAAACCCAGCAGAGGTGATAAAAAATTACACCAATCAAGTGAAAAGTAGAAGAGGTTTTTGCTACAGCAAATCTTGAAAATCTCATTCATATATGGAAATCTGTATTGATAAGTGTATATAAGTATTATATGAATGTTGACTTGCTAAGTACACTTAACTGCTGTCAATATGCACATTATGTAGATCCCATTAAATACTTGATACCCTCAGCTCCTAATCCAGCAAGTGGAAACTGAGAATTAGTAGAAATTCAAATCTTTTCAAGATCAAGTGTAAAATTTGGCAGTGTTAAATCTTGTCTTGTCTTCCCATTGCTTCCTGAAATGAAAAGTTTAAAGACCTACTTCTTTTTTTTATTCCTTTGACATGGTATTTTAATACTTTGCCACAAACCTACCTTGCATGCCATTTTGATATAGTAGTGTTGAAACATATCTGATGTCCAGCACATAATAATTTTCCTGTGTGGTAACTGGAAAGTGCACTGAATTTTCCGCTACTGACTTGCTCGAGGCATGGATCATATTTTCCTGTAGTTATGGTGAAGGTACAGCTAAAATAAAATTTTGTACTCTATTTTAAGGTTAAAAAACTCATTAGAAGTAAATCATTAATCCAAAGAAGATCTGATCATTGCTATTAATAGTAAAGTAGATGCCCATATGCCCTATATTTTGACTACTTCTACCTGGTGTAATGCATCCCAAGATACCTGTACAAGCCTGTTCTAAAGTATTTTGCCTGTCTGCTTTCACTGCAGGGAATTGTAAGGGTAACAGGAAATACTGGTTACTGGTGTTCTTTATTGGTGTTGAAGCCTGTTGAAACTGAGACAGGCTTCAACAGTGTCCGCAGTGAGCATTCACAAGTTTGTACTATGAAAAGGGTCTGTAGCCCCTCATTAGCACTGCCCAACATAGCTAGTCTAGCCCTTCTCCTGCGGATTTCAGCTCTTTGTGATCCAAGACCTAGTTCTGATAGCACCAGCTCTGAGAAACTTCTGAAAAAATTCCTCCATCATGAGAAAGTACAGTGACATGAGATAAGAAACGCAAAACAGCAGCTGGTAGTTTTGAGATATGGCTAGTTGGCAGTTCAAGGATTCAAAAGGAAAAAACACTGCTATAGAAAAGTGTAAAATCCTAAGAGAGAAAACAGGTGGCTGGAATATGGCAACCCATTTCAGGGACAGCAAGGACTTTTCTCTGCATGGCTGACAGATGGCTGGCCAGCAGAGACTCACTGCTTCAGAAGAAATACAGCTTCAGGAATGTCACCTTCAGAGTTCCCAAAACAGAATGTTCACTTAGGTGTGAAACTGTGAAAATTATCACCTTTTAGCCTTTGGTTATGAAATTCCACACCTGCAGACCTCTAGTTTGTCTTTGCCATGAACTTTTATTCTTACTGTCAATATAACTCATATTACTCATAGTGCTAAAATGAGTAATATTATGCAATGTACTGGGGAGCACTTCTATAGCATGGAAATCATCATTCCTAAAACATCTTGACATGAAGATCTGTGAATCTTTAGAGAAGATTTGAGAATCTGAGGAATTAGTTCAGACTTGATCTGTCAAGAAACTGATGAAGAGCCTAAAGTTGTAAAATGGTGAAAGAGAACCTGCAAAACACAGGAATGATAACATCCTCCTGCTAATTAAATTATGAAGGCCTCTAATAATTGGAACAGGTGAGGTTCCAATTATGATTATTTTATATTAATGCTTTGGCAACTATGAGTTTCTGGTTGTATGTTACACAGGTGTATTAAAATGTGATACATAAAGCAACTCCCTTCCTTCCCTAATTCTGTAGCAGAAAGAAACCAACCAAATGCTACCAGTGAAACACAATTAAACCTCAGAATTCAGTCCCAAAGGAGTTTGACAGAGATGTGAACCACAGGGTCCTCTGACCTGATTTTTTGGTCTGACTGTTGCATATACAAACTAAACCTCTCAATCTCACTTGAAGTTGTATCAGTGGAAATTCAAACAAGTGTAGCATTGTCCCAGGATAAAGAATTATGGGGAAAAGAAAAAGAAAAAAAAGACTGACAATTTGAAGTGCACAGTGATCCAGGAAACTGCAGAGATTAAAGATCTTTCACCAATGAATGAAAATGAAATAAACATTTTATCAATATAAACATTATAGAACTCTGATAGTATATTAGCATATGACAAAATTAATTACTCGAGCACCTGAAGACATAAAAGTTAGCTCTATGTGTTGCAATGCTTTGAGTAGTTTCTGTATTCGGTGCAAAGACCCATAGTAAGGAAGATGGCACAAAATCTTGAACTGAAGAGTGCAACATACCTCTTGTGGTGTTGCCAAGAAAGGCTAAAGAGAAACTAGTCTCTTAGTATGGTCAAAGGCTCATTAAGCAGTGAATTACCACTGGGGATGCTACTCTACCTCTGACTTATTTTTTGGTTTTGGTGGTTTTTTGGTTTTGTTGTTGTTTGTTTGTTTGTTTGTTTTCAATCTGGTTTGTAGGAGTAGCATATCTTTTGCAATAAAACCACATCGATGGTGGAATCTCTTCTCAGACCTTCCTGGGCTGCTTGTTACATAACAGTGCCTCGCTGTGCTTTAATGCCTTCTCAGCGGCTCAGTGTTATCAGGGGCTAAATCAAATGAATATTTAACAGGGTCAGGTCCCCGGAAAAATAGTTTCCATCTGGGAAAATCTAAACTGACTGACTGACTGAATGTGTAGTTAGTTAATATTCAGGTACTGATTTATGCTTATTTCTACCAAGTGTCCTATTAGGATGGCTTGATGCAGTATAAGAAATAAACCCAAAACCTGTCGTTTCATAGATTTCTTATGCTTCCTGTTGGTTATTTGTGTGTTTTTTAGGTGTTACTCCTAATGCTTATAAGAAAAAGCTTAGTCCCTTGCCCAGGGCTGCAGCATATTCCACTGAAGTTTAATCTCGAGCTTTCCGCCAGCAGAATCTTTTCAGCTGAGGGTCTGCAGTGCCGCGGGCAGAGGGAGCTGCCGGTCCACCTACACGCACCCATTTACTTCACCTCAAACCTCGGGAAAGAGCCCTAAGGGGTGCCTGTACGGGCTCTTCCCTGCGGGTACCGCTGTTTGCTGAGTACGCACTAACCTGAGGAGGCTGCTCGACTAAAAGAGGCTGGGGAGAGGGGAGGAGCCCCCGGGAGCCCCCGGTACGGGACGGGGAGACGAGAGCGGACCCTGACCCGGCAGGCTGCCCGCTGGGGCCGGCTCGTCCCGCTCCGCCGAGCCCCTCAGGACGGACAAACACCTCCGCCGCGGCCGCGCCCCCGCCCGGGCCCTCAAAAAGGGGACGGGGCGGAGGAGAGGCGCGACTCGCACCTGCTGCCGCGGGGAGCTGCGCCGGGCCCGCACCCACGGCTGCCCCGGGGACTGCGGACCGCCCGCACCTCGAACAACCGCCGAGGCTCCCGCTGCTCCGCGCTGCTCGGCGGCACCCGACGGCACCGGCGCACCGACGGCACCGACGGCCGCGGGACACCCGCACCGCTGTACCCGACGGCACCGACAGCCGAGGTTCCCCCGCACCGTGACCGCCACCGCCCGCCCCCCGGCACCAGGGCCCAAGGGCACCATGACCCTGCTCAAGCTGTCCCCTCATGCCTTCAGCTTCGTCTTCTGGGCAGCGGGGCTGACCATGCTCATCATCGGCCTCTGGGCCAAGGTGTCTCTGGGCAGCTACCTGGCGCTGTCGGCCAGCGACTATCCCAGCGCCCCCGCCATCCTCTTAGCCACCGGCGCCGCCGTCATCATCTGGGGCTTCCTCGGATGCTTCGGGGCGCCACGGAGCACCGGGGGCTCCTGCGCGCCTACAGCGCGTTCCTGACGGCCGTGCTGGCGGCCGGGCTGGGCGGCCGGGCTCTCCGCGCTGCTGTACCGCCAGACCCCTGGCGCACGGCTTCCAGGAGGGCTGCGCCAGGCACTGCTGGCATACGGGGAGGACGAGCGGGTGGCGGACGCCCTGGACGCGCTGCAGCGCGCCTTGTCCTGCTGCGGGGTGCAGAGCTACCGCGACTGGCTCGCCTCGCCTGGGGCTGAGCAGAACGGTCGGTGCCGCTCAGTTGCTGCCGGGGCGCCGGGGCTGCCAGGCGCAGCCCGCCCGACGCTCGCAGGCTGCACCGTGACGGCTGCTTCGCCAAGGTGTCGGCCTTCGTCGGCAGCAACATGTCTTATGTTGCCACCGCTGCCCTGGGACTGGCACTGCTGCAGCTCATCGGCATTGTGCTGGCCTGCTTGCTGGCTGCCCGCGTCCCTGCTGGCCTGCTGGGCACCACCACCCCTCGCTGAGGTCCCCCCACTCCTGTCCCTTGTCCTCTCCAGCTCCCTTCTTTCCTCTAGAACTGAGTGCACCCCACTGGGAAAATCCTCCCTTCATATACACCACTTTCACCTGAGCATCCTTCTCTAGGCTCCATTTCTCCTCTGGAGCCCGTGTCAGATGTGTGTCAATGCTACGGGCATCTCCACAGCCCTTCAGAAGGGAAGGTGCTGGGAAGACATCTCCTGGCCTGGCCATGTCCCACTGCTCTCCTGGAGCCTCTGGATTTTTTCTGCAGAGGGTGGTGGCAGCACGGACAGACAGGGCTCTGGGGCAGCAGGGGCTCCTGGGGCAAGGCTGACTGGTTTTCTGGGTGATGTAAATACCCAAGACACTGAAATGTGAGGCAGGAAAGAGGAGAGGGTTTGGGAGAGCAAGAGAGGTGTCTCTCAACATTACGCTATATGAATATTCCTTGGAGACTGGAAAATGGTGTTACTGGAAAACTGCTAGAGTGCACGAGGGGCAGGGCTGGTCCAGGGGCACCTAGGTAGCCATGCCAGAAGCTGACACTGGGAGCTGCTTGAGGGACTGTCCAGCGTCGTGCACCCCATTGCTGCCAAAATTTTCCACCGTTGCTGTGAGCGGATTCAAGCTGCCACGGGTGCTTTTCCTGCTGTGGTGTTTCCAATGCTGATCTCGATCTAAAGGTGGAGCTGCAGCTCTGTTACTCCCTCCTTCAGGATGTGCCTATCCTCTTAGCCAGCGCGTAGCCGATTATGTCTTCGCAGGGCTGCAAAGACCTTAAACGCGGGTCCTTGTCATTCAAGAAGATGGCAAAGGCTGTAGGATCAGATCTAACGAGGGATGGCAAGAGAAGGAAAGGGCTCGTTGCCCTTCAGAAGTTTCTTTTGGACTTTTGAAGTGAACTTTAGGGTGAGTGGAACAGACTGTTTTATAGAGGGGTTTCTACAAACAGCCCTCAGACTGACATTTTTCCTTTCTCAAAGGATCTGTCTCTGAAGTGTGCCCCCACCTACATTTTTGAAGCCAGATCTGTACAACCTGAGAGTAAATGGAGGACCCCCAAGACTTGCTATCCTGAGTTTGTTCAGATCAGATAGCAGTACAAATCTACAGGATTTTTTTTTTTTTCACAACAGTTCTGGGTTTGCATTTGGAGTTTGAGAAAAAGCAAGCCCTGCACTTGAGAGGGTCCTGAACTTTCAGAGCTTCACTCCTGCTTCTTCCCGTGTCCTTAAAACCTGTGAACTCGACTTTTACATGTTTCTCTACCTTGCAGCACAAAGACATGCCCCTCTTACCCAGCAAACTAGGGAAGAAGAATTTCAGAAAAGAGCCAGGAACCACAAGGAACTCCAGGATGTGGCATCTCTCAGGAATGTGACTAGCAAAGCTGTGGAGAATGGTCAAATGCCAACAAATACAAGCAGGGCAAGAAATCTTGAGTGAAAAAGATGACTAATAGCTTCATGGGAGGAATGGTGTAACCTCGGGGGAGAGGGGATTAACATCATCCCTTTTTTTCAGATATTAGGTGGCTGTTTAGCTATGAAAATCACATTCCAGATAAAGAGTACAATGCGAACAGCCTTCTCAGTCATTTGGGTATTCATCTGCACAGGTGAACCCTGGAAATTTGTTGAAAATCTCTCTTTATAGAGAAAACAATGCTTCATTTTTAGGGCTGATGTTTATTGTTTATTATTTACATAATGTATTTTTAAATTTTTGTTTGCAAATGTCCCTTTTTTTAAATTATGCATTAGTGGAACCCCTGCTATTTTCTGGAAGTCAACATTATTTTGTACAATTTTAACAATGGACAAAAAGTATAGTTGTTATAGGTACTTGAGAAATGAAGTTTAGCAAATGCTAAGAGCAAAATAAATCACTATTTCAACTCCAATAAAGTATTTACATTTCTGTATGTCTCCACATGGTTCAACTAAGTGCAAATGAAATGAAGTTTACGTTGAAATGTAAAGACAGTAGAACGTTGTAGTTTTTGTTTTTGTTTTTTCCAGAAATCCTTTATAGAAGCAATAAAACAGGTGTTGTGGAGAGTATGGGAAAGGGACATGGAGTTGCACTGGGTTTATTAAAAAAGTATTCTCTGAAAATTTACAAGAATATGATATTGCTCTTTTTTTACTCCACCGATTACTAAAATTATTTCTGATTTTGACCCTTATTGCTTTGTATGACACTTAGCAGTCAGTCAGAATGAAGTACACTGTTAAAACACATTCAAGCAAAACCCTTGTGTAGATATGCAATTCAATGAATTTGTTCGGGTTTTAAGTTGCTAAGAATATCAAAATAGGAATGAAACTAAGTTTCAAGCGTACAAGTGTATGTCTGTATGATGGTCCAGTCTGAATCTGAGGACATCAACTTAGTGTAATGAATAATTAAGAATGTAAACCATCACTCTGCACTCTTGGCCTCACTGAAATAGGACAAACCTTGGCAGCAACAATGTAAATGCTAAGTATACTTATATCATCAAAGATTTCATGGACCGGCTGTGACTGTTAGTTGAATGTTTATTGCCAGTTCCTGGAATTAACAACATTAACTTCTGTAATGTGTGAAAGAAGTGTCATTCTTCTCTAATTAATTCCCAAAATAAGAGATTCCCAGTAGCTCTTTGAGTTGTCCTGAATTCTTTGTGCCCAGTGCCCAAATCTTACTTTTATTTTAAAATTTATCTAGATTCAGTATTATTTTGTTCTGGATGGCCAGAATAACTGTAACTGGAAAGTGTTAGAGTGGACAGTGCTACCTACTGCTTGCTGGAATATGTATTTGTTTTCTGTCCTTCTTTCAAATTTAAATTCTCTCATCAAAATGGCATATTACACTAAAGATGAGTCCATCTTTTAAGAAAAGCTAATATCAATTTTAAAATTGGTGGTTATTCAAATTAGTATAGGAGCAAGCTGTGTTGCAGTTGTAGAAACAATAGCTCTGTTGTTTGGACAAAGTGAGATTTAGGATTAACAAGGGTGGTAAGATTAGACTCTTGTTATGAAACAAGGACTATTTTATAACATTGATCTACAATGCCAAGAATACAAATCTTTCAAACTTCAAAAGTGGTTGACATTTTGTCCAACGTGAATTATTTACTGTAGCTGAACTCTGTGTTACAGATAATCAGAACTTAAAATAGCCTCTATAACTGATTGTGAATTTTTAGATAAGAGATGGCTTTCCTGGAATTAGAAAACTTAAACAGTAACAGTAAGATTGGGTAGGTCAGAGAAAAAAAAAGGTTACTTTTGTTAAAGTGTAGTTTTCATGTTTATTTATGTATTCATCTTCTTTGTCATTATCTTCTTTCTTCTGGGGAAAATACAATCATGTGCTATCATTAAGCAGCTGATTTGTATAAAACCATTGACAAGAATAGTACTCATCTAAGATTTCCACAGATAAATTACAGTAAAGATACTCTTTTTCTTAAATCCAATAACCTACAGGAGATTTTGATAAATCAGGTGGCATAGGAACTGAGAAGGAAATGCAATGTTTTCCCAATTGAATGTTTTGGGTTCCAATAAAAAAGGCATATCCATGGAAAATTTGGGCACCTAAGAAGTCTTACCACAGTCTTGTTCTGAAGCACCACAAAATATTGGTCAGGAACTTAAAATATAAGTCACACAACTAATAGAATTCAATACTTTCTTTTAATCTGAAAAGACTTTTGACCACTGTAGTTAATACTTCATTGGTCATGCACCCATTATGCTCCAAAATGGTAAAAATACATATTTCTTCTCAACTCTGTTTGATTCAAACACACAAATTTCACTCTGTTCAATATGTGATTTTAGTTTGCTTTTCTCAGTAGTTGTGCTGGAGTATTATGTCATGTTACTTGGCATAGTGTGCTTGTGTTTCAGTAATCCCAGGTACTGGGATTCTTGCCTAGAAACTTTCAGAAGAGATAGAGGTGGAGGCTTGCCAGATACAGTAGCACCTTGACTTTCAGTGCAGAGTTCAGCCAAAATAATAATGAAAGTAAAGGACAAATCCAACAGCTAAATATACCTGTCTCATAATTTTGAATAGATCTGCTCACTGAAACTGTTAAAGGAAACACCAGGAGGACTAGGGAGTAAGCAGAATTGGAAATCCATTAATACTGCAAAACTTTCCACTAGTGTGGCATGTTCACTCTTTCTTGTCCATTTTGCCCTTCCACCTACCTCTATAACTCCACTTCTTATGCCTGGAGCGTAATTATCTGTAACTCTCATCTCAGTTATTAGTGTTCTGCTGCCTTAGGAGTTCCCTTGAACCAACTCCTCTTTCTTTTTCTAGCTTCACATCCCAGGAGTCAAGCAGTCCTTCCAGGTCTGAGCTCCTTGTTGGACATGTTTTTGAAAAGAAGTGTCTTGATCTGCCTGGTTTTAGTAACAGCAGTTTTCTAGCACTAGTAGTCACCTTTATGTTTTTTAATCATATGAAAAATGTGGCAGAAAGGTATAATTAAATAATAATTCCAGAAGTTATTGTTCTAGTAGATATTTGTTTCTTACCAAAGCAACACCCCTTCCTCCCCACCCTGCATATATCATCTTTGTTGTCTTGATGGTATTGTTTGTAGTTGCTGTTGTTTCGTTAGAATGATAATACTCAGGGAAATTTAGGCAGAAGCTAAACTAATTACTTTACAAGGGAATAAGTGGGTTTGGACCAGTTCTAGTGATTACCTTAATAATTTAGTTAATAAATTTTAGAAGGTACCATTGAGCAAAGTCATCAGAAATTAAATATGTCATCAGATGTTTTCTAGAGAGAGTAGAGGTAGAAAATCAAGCTCCCAGAAAATGAGCTCCGTAGTTTGAAAGCAGAACACAGATTAATTTTAAGTCTCCTGGTAAAGGCCATTGAGACACCTGGTTAATACAGCTGTCACTAACAAGTAGAAATGAAGATGTGAGTGCTGTTTCAAAGCCAGCTTTCTAGAGCATATGTTGTATATGTCATGCTT